GGTCATAATATAAATGCTTTTTTACACTTTATTTTATTTAATAAACTGTCTGTCTCTGGATCATTTCAGATCAGAACAGAAAATCTACTTTAATCTTTTTTTTCCTTTTTCTTCTTTTTCTATAGTTTTAAAATGACCATAATGTACATAGTATCATATATATGCTACATTTATAGTTTAGAAGTACCATGATTTATTTAACTTTTCCTATTGTTAGGCATTTAATTACTTTCTGAAGTTGGGTTACTACAAACAATAAAATAATCACAGCCTATACCTAAGTTTTTTGTGCCCACGTATGTGCATTTCAATAGGCTATATTCCTAGTACTAGAACTTCTGGGTTCAAAAATATGGCAGATATTGCTAAACTACTTCCTTCACAAGTCTGCATTAAGTCTTCCACCAAGAGTGTAGAGTATATATTTCTCTGAATAGTAATAAACCCCTATTATTATTAGTTCTTAAATTTTTTAGTTGATCCCATTAGCTAAAATGAAATCTTATTGTTTTAATTTAATTTTTACTTCTCTTTTACAAGTGAGTTGGATCTTTTTTTACAATATTTGGCCTTTGTGTGTGTGTGTGTAAAGTCTTTATATCCTTTGTTTTTACTTTCATGTTGATTGTCTTCTTCTTACTAAATTTGTAGGACTTCTTAAATCTGTTAAATGTGTTGCAAATACATTTCTCCCTCTCTGTTCATGTCTTTTGACTTTATGATGTCTTTTATCATACAAAAGTTTTAAATTTTTGTGAGCTAAAGGTGTCAAAACTTAGAAAGTATTAGAAAATATAGTAGAATGTTTTTATAAACTTGAGGTGATGAATGCCTTCCTAGGATACAAAAATCATCTTGTTCAGTTTACTGAGATACCATACTGGGATTGTTGATTAGAAAGTCAATAACTACATGATTTAATTAAAATACATTGACATTTTCAGGGGCGGGTGGTTGGGTGGCTCAGTTGTTAAGTGTCTGCCTTCAGCTCAGGTCATGATCCCAGGGTCCTGGGATCAAGCCCTGCATTGGGCTTCCTGCTCGGCGGGAAGCCTGCTTTTCCTTCTCCCACTCCCCTTTCTTGTGTTACCTCTTCTCACTGTCTTCTCTGTCAAATAAATAAATAAAATCTTAAAAAAATAAATTGACATTTTTATTAAGCCTCAGAATTCATTAACAATGTACATCTTTCCATTTTTAGACCTTTTTTAAATTCCTAATTTCACTGTTTACTTCATAGTTACTTTGTATCAGATGGATTTCCTGATATTTTATTATTTTTATTGTCTCAATAAATGGGATACTTTTCTAATACTATTTTCAAGAATTTATTATTTTAATGAAGAAATGCCAATTATTTTTGTAAGCTAATATAGTATCTGGTTTCCTTGTTATATATTCTGATTAGCTATAAAAAAAAGTTTAATACTTGAGTTCTTGGATTTTCCTTAGAAACTTGTTATAAAGAGTCTATTTTTGCTTTTACTCGTCAACTATTCTTTTTTATTTCTTTAAAAGTTGCTTTAGCTTTACAAATTTCTTGACTCCATTTTCTTGTCTATGACTTTGACTGAGGTTAAACATCTTTTTTTAAGTTTAAAGGCACTTGTATTTTGTTTTCTGAGAAACTGGTTCTCCTGTTTCTTTGTGTTTCCTATTTCAACTGGGTAAAATTTACTTTCTAATTTTATGATATGACTAGAGAAAGTGATCTATTTAAGTATGTTTTTTGGGAACCATGGAGTTTTTCTTTGAGTTTAATATATGTCCAATTTTTGTAGACATTTCATAGGTGTTTGAGTAGAATTTGTTTCAAATTGGGAATAAGAATCTGGCAATAAAATTATAAATCCATTTATTTGATAAAATGCATTAACTGTTATTCAAATCCTCCATATTTCTTTTTTTTTTTTTTTTAAAGATTTTATTTATTTATTTGACAGAGAGAGATCACAAGCAGGCAGAGAGGCCGGCAGAGAGAGAGGAGGAAGCAGGCTCCATGCTGAGCAGAGAGCCCGATGCGGGGCTCGATTCCAGGACCCTGAGATCATGACCCGAGCCGAAGGCAGTGGCTTAACCCACTGAGCCACCCAGGCGCCCCTCCATATTTCTTTTTTTTTTTTGTTTATTTGATCTACTGATTAGATTAATACCTATCACAATAACTGTGAATTTGTCAATGTATACTTGTGCTTGTTGATATATTTAGGATCTTAGTTACATTAAGTTTTATAATTATCATATTCTTTGGCAGATTGTAGCTTTTGGTCATCATTTCTATTATCACTAATACTAATATTCCCAGATTTGTTTGTTGCTGTTGTTGGCATTTCTCTGTTATATAGTTTCATCCCCTTATTTTCAAACTTTATATATTGCTTTCTTCAGGAGTATGTCTCAAAGACAACATGTAACTCAATTTTAACCCTGATAGCCACTATCTATTAATAGGAGAATTCCATTCATTAATATTTATTATAACTAACATGTTTATTTTTCTTTCTTCTTCTCTTCCAGGCTGTTGTTGAACTTTTTTCTTTTTAGTGGTTTAGAATCTGTACATATAGCTTTTCTTCCTACTAGCAGCCCTTAAAATTTAAATATACACAGTTAAAAATGTATTTTTTCATTAACTTTTGGTGCTAATTAGTAACTATTATTACTCCTAAGGGGGGAAAAAAAACTTAGGAAATTTTAACTTCCTTTCCCTTAGGAATTTCTGGGATTTTTATTTTTGGGTCACTAAATTTTTCCTTATGCATTAATATTTTTGATAAGTATAATTTTTAGATTCACATTTTATTTTTTATTATTTTAATTTTTAATTCCTTAATTATGAGCATATTTTAAAAATTAACATATAATGTATTATTTTTTTTTCAGGGGTACAAGTCTGTGATTTATCAGATTTACACAATTTATAGCACTTACCATAGCACATACCCTCCCCAGTGTCCATCACCCAGCCATCTCATCCCTCCCACTCCCCTTCACTCCAGCAACCCTCAGTTTGTTTTGTGAGATTAAGAGTCTCTTATGGTTTGTCTCCCTCTCTGGTTTCATCTTGTTTCATTTTTCCCTCTAATTGTTACTTAGCTCCACACCATCAGTTTTTGAATTCAGTGCTTCTTATTTGTCGCACTTACTGTTCATTTTGTAGCAGTCCCTCCTTCAGTACTTTTTTCTCAAGTGATTCCATAGGGTTTTTTATGGGATTTAGAGGCTACCAATCAGACATACTTGGGTAAGATCTGAAATCAGAACTGAGCCAATTGGGAGGTAGAAGTAGCACACAGATTTCCATTTTTGGGGGTACAAATTACAAATTTATAATTGTAAATTCTATAACCAAGTTCTGGGGACAGGAGTGGGGAACTTCCTGATCCCCCATGTAGTGAAAGTGGTATGATCCTGGAGGTTGCAACTGGGATGACAGTCTCTCCTGATCAGCTAGCTCCCTGAGCAGAGGTTGGCAGTTTCCTTGGTGGGCTGGTTCTGTGGTATCATTCTGAGAGTCATTATATTGCTTCCCTGGCCCTTCCGATGATTTTACAGACAATGAATTCCTTGTATATCAGTCATTTCCTACTTATTCTACCAGAGTGCATTCTCTTATCTATAACTAAATCACAAAAGACATAGATAGCATCCTTAACTTTTGTCCTTCTATCCATGCACATTTTCTCAGTGTGTTCTGTCAGGTATAACTCTTCTAAGTATTTTTCAAATTATCCTCTTCTCCACTCTCACTGTCTTAGTTCATGCCTTCAAAATCTCCCTCCTGGACTATAATGAGCCTCTTTTTTTTTTTTGGTCACACTCCAATTTATTAGTGTAAAATGTTATTCAACAATCTTGGTTTCTTCTTCAACTTTGCTCTTCTATTATCATCCCATGCTTTCTTTTTTTCCTCTCTCACCATAGCACATACCCTCCCCAACATCCACCATCCAGCCACGTCATCCCTCCCACCCGCTCCCCTTCAGCAACCCTCAGTTTGTTTCCTGAGATTAAGAGTCTCTTATGGTTTATCTCCCTCTTTGGGTAAATCTTGTTTCATTTTTCCCTCCCTTCCCCTATGATCCTCCATCTTGTTTCTCAATTCCTCTTATCAGGGAGTCTCTGATTGACTTATTTCGCTCAGCATAATACCCTCTAGGTTCCATTCACATTATTGCAATGACAAGATTTCGGTTTTTTAATGACTGCATAGTATTCCATCATATATATAGAATATAAATATATATATATATATATCATATATATATATATACCACATCTTCTTTATCCATTCATCTGTTGATGGACATCTAGGCTCTTTCCATAGTTTGGCTATTGTGGACATTGCTGCTATAAACATTTGGATGCAAGTGCCTCTTGATTGGTCTCCAGTCCTTCCATCTCTGCCTACTCAAATGGCAGCCTTTCTAGAATGTACATCTAATCACATGACTGTTGTGCCTAATTACAAAGCCCAAGTATTCACTTTTGTTTCAAATGGATTGCAAAACTCTTCAAAAATCAGACCAAAATCTTCTGGCTTCATTTCTGTTCACTATTCACAATTATCCCATACTCCAATTACTCTAAACTTGATACAATTTTTTGCACCTTTGCAGATCTCCTTCCCCTATACCTGAAAAACTTCTCATTTCTGAAGAGCTAGATAAAATGTTATCTTCTCTGTGAAGTTTTCCCTTATGTTCTTCCAAAGTGCAGTTGGTCTCTCCTACACTCCTATAGCCCTCTCTGAAATCTGAAGCATTCACATTATAAGTGCTTACATATATCTTTAAATTATTAGTTTATAAGCCACACAAGAGCAAGAATTTTGTCTTATTCATTTTTATACCCCAACACTTGGAAGAGGGCAAGTCACAAGACAAATTTAGGATCAATGTTTGTGGGATGCGCAAGTGGCAGTTAAGAGGTATGTGGAATTTATCCCTCTTTTCTAGTGCAACAGAAATTTCATAAAAATGATAGAAATTAAAGATTACCTGACATCACCCAGAATTGAAATCAGACGGTACTGGGGTAACTCAGAAGATGCGACATGTGCTAGGATTCCAAAGAGCCTTTCAGCCATTATCATGTCATTCTGTGTCACCTGAAGAGATACAATGGAGAGGGGTCAAAATGACACTGTCTCTAGCTTGATACAATTAACACAATTCCAAAGAAATTTCTAAGTATTTTCTTTTAGCCTGGGGAAGTACCTTCTCCTGGGCTGCAAGAGAGAGTTCTCACTGACATTTCTTTCTTCCCAAACTTAATTGAAATGAAGATGTACAAATGTGGCTTGTAGTGACAGAGGATGACTGAGGTGATGAGTTCACTCTGACTCAAAGCAATGTTCCCTGAGAATTATACTTGAGGCAACTTAAATTCTTAATGAATTTTTTTCAGAAATCCTACAGTTTCTTGGAGTAGAATGATTTAGGGGGAAAATTCTCAAGTGTCAATGGAATAGATTCACTGTAATAATGTGTCAAAGGTAAGCCAAGATCTTGTTCATACCTTGCTTCTATAAGAATAACACTGTCCCCTTCTGAGAGATGGAACATGAGATAAGCAAGGATACTCCTGTTCATTCTAAAATTATGTCTACCTTGCTCTCCACAAGGAACAATGGTCACAGGTATTCTTTGTAAGGGCGTATCCCCATGTTAACCAAGAAGGTATTAAAAGCTAAAAGTGGGGCTTGGATTAAAATCTGGGGCTATTTTCTTTAATATAAGATGTGGTTGCTTGTCCTTGCATTTAATACTATTCGTCTCCATAATCAGTAGTTTCCAACCAGGGGCAATTTTGGCCCCTAGGGAACATTTGACAACGTCTGGAGACATTTTTGGTTATGACAGCTGGCAGAGGGGAGCTACTAGAAACTAGTGGGTTGAAGCCAGGGGTGCTGCTAAACATCCTCATTGCATAGGACAGCCCCCACAACAAAGGACTACCTGACCCCAAATGTCAACAGAGCTGAGGTAGAGAAACCCTGGTATAGTCAAATGTTGGAACTTAAAAACATTCACTAATACTAGCTGTAATACATTTCACAGGCCCGCTCCAAAAAATAAACCCACAATTCCCAAGCATCTTACACACATGACTCAGTGCAGTCTCACACTTTTCCTAAGACCTTCAGAGTTAAGGAGGCTGCTGTTTGCTCAGATCTTTCCTTCCGCTGACAATGAAGTTACTTGGTCTAACACAGTCACCTAGTGGCCAGTGCAGGCCACTACTCCATCTTTTCTTCTTGATGCGCACAATTCAAATTTAATTCTTCCGCAAGCAATATTATTCTCTCTCATATACAAAGAGATGTAGATATATAGTATAATATTACTACATATTGTCAATGTTGAGATAAGCAGCTTTATTTTAGACTGTTAATAAAGGGTCAAATATCCTGGGCATTGACATTTTAGGAAATTTTAAATCAGAAGTTATATTGATATTTGATATATTGATATTTTAAATTAGAAGAAGTTATATTGGTTCTTTATAATTCTTTATTTGTGTAATTATACTGCACCATTCCTCCTATTTCAAGGTTCTATCATACTTAGTACATCTCTAGTAGTGATCCATGTCTGGGTAAATATACTACTGAGGTTAATGGGGTCAACAGTTTGGCCATTAATGAATGAGAACACTCACCCATAGTCAAAATCACTATTCTACTTCCAGACCAAGGTAGCTTTGGGAAACTTTGGGACTAATTATTAGGTCTGATCAATGACTCACAACCTCTCTGGGAAGTACCAAGAGAATACACAAGAGTACACAAGACTGAAACAAATCTCTTGGGAACTAGCTGGAGAAATTAGTAGTCTGAAGGTTCCAGATTTGTCCCACATTTTACTCATGAGCCTAGCATGGTTGATGCTAATTTCACTTGTACACTGACTCGGAGATCTCCAGTCTCTTAACACTCTACTAGATTTTTAGAATGCTAGGCCAGAGGTACTTGTAGAGCATCAGCTGCAGGGAAATACAGTTGCTATTATCATCATGCTGGCAAATTTGATTGTAGCTCATTTTACAATAAGGAGGTCTTCTGATTTTAAAGAGATAATTGTAATAGTATTAACAGTCATATTAGAGAACTTCTTTCTTTGGAGGATTATTTAAATTCAGTGCAGGAATTCCACAGGAGAGGAAGAAGTATAGTTTCTCTCCTTTCTCCCCAAATAGTATTTAGAGAACATGGTCTTTGGATAGCAGGAAAATTATTCCTGCGACAAGCTTAGCAAAATCAATCTGAAAAATAACCTGTCACTCATAATATTCTAGCCCTGAGTTATACAGAGCAGGTAATCCACAGGCAGCTGTTACAAACTATTAACAAAGCAGTCTAGACACTTACATATGCTTGTTTTACTCCTTTTTTTCTCATTTTTACTTTCTCTTCTTTTGCCTTTCTTTCTTATTTCTCATCTTTTCTTTTAAAATTATTCTTCTTTCCCTGCATACATTCTTTTTTTTTTTTTCTCACTTTATTCCTCCCTCTACCATGACCTTTATCAGCTGACCTTTGCATACTACTTCCCCATCCTTCTCATGTGTCTGGCAGTTTGCAAAACACTTTGAAAAATACTAAGATCATAGTACCTACATAGGTGTTCTTTTTTTTTTTCTTTCCTGAACTGTCATCCTACCAATATTTTACTTTTCTGAATGTTTACAAGGAACAGTAAAAGCATTTGCTATTCACCATGATTTGGCTGTAAAGTCTGTTCAGTGCTTTAGAAGTTTTTTGATTGATCTTTAGCTTTTTAACATTGTAAATGTCAAGATTTGGGGAAAACCCATAATATCTCTCAAAAGTTCTTTCATGATTACTGAATTTCCTGACCATTATTATGGCTACTTCTCCTAAAAAGGAATATTTTGATTCTACAGCTAGTTTATATTTAGCTTACCTCTGTTCCATTTATTTTCTGCATACTAAAATGGCTCAGCCTAAACAGTACGTAGTATTTCCAGAGTGTGAAATTGACAACCGGATTTCCTTGCGGATCAATTGTCAACTGGTCGACACGGCGCAGTTGAGCTAGGGCATTAAACTGCTGCAGCATGACAAGATTTGTTTCCTTGAATTTAAGGTGCTGCAACAATAAAACACAAAAAAGAGCTGAACATTGAATTTAACCATCTTAAAATATTAACATTAAAGTTTCAGTGACCATTCCCCAAGAAGTCTGTAAACTTTAGGTTTAACTAGTATGTTTTCAATTATATTAAACCAACTGCATCTACCAAATTTACTTCATTTTAGTCCATCTGATACATCACTGATGAAATCCATTAATCCACCCAGTATTGAATTCAAAGTGATTCCCCATCTGCAAAGGATGTCCCCCATTTACTAGCAAACTAAGCTCCTCAAAATTAAATAAATATACAATAATTCAGACTTTCAGGCATTACGATGATTTTACATGATTTATACTGAAATTGAATCTACAAAGGAAAGATTAGAAATAAAACTTTGAACTTTATGAATATAGGGCTTACGATGGTTCTGAGAAGAACTGATTAGTTGTTATTACCTGTATCTTGCCAATTACTAGTCAGGCTAGTTAAACTGGCCATGGGACAAGAAAATCACTAAAACTGAAATGCTACTGTAAGTGTTCTTTCTGTGTAACTGGATACTCCTTTCTGAACATATTGTCTCTATTTCCACCTGTCTTCTTTAGTGAGGATAAGGTGGCAAAAGAAAACGAACTACAAGAGAGCAGGTGAAGGAAATCACTTGGCTAACAGAGAAAAACAACAATAATAATAACTCAAGGGAGAACTCACAGTTTCTGCAAGTAACGTACTAATAAGTAATATATTAGTACCAAAAACAGCTAATTGGAAAAACTCAAAAAAGCTAATTTCTCAACCTTATTTTAAAAAGATTCAATTCTAGTATAGCTAACATACAGTATTATATTAGTTTGAGGTGTACAATACAGTGACTCAACAATTCTGTACATTACTCAGTGCCCATCACAGTAAGGGCACTCACAATCCCTTTCACCTCTCTGGTAGCCATGTTTGTTCTCTATAGTTAAGAGTCTTTTTGTCTTCTTTTGCCTTTATATATATCACATATATCCTTATATATATCACATATACATACACACAGTGGAGTATTACTCAGTCATAAAAAGAAAGACATCTTGCCATTTTTAACACACACACACATCCATTCTTCTGTGGACTGACATCTTCTTTATCCATTCATCTGTGGATGGACACTTGGACTGTTTCCATAGTATGACTATTACAAATAATGCTGCAATAAATATAGCAATGCATATATCTTTTCAAATTAGTCTCTTCATATTCTTTGAGTAAATACCTAGTAGTTCAATTACCAGATGGTAGAGTGGTTCTGTTTTTAACTTTTGGAGAAGTCTCCATACTTCCTCCCGCAGTGGCTCCAAATTTGCATTCCCACCAGCAGTGCACAAGCCTTCATTCCTTTTTCCTCACACACTAGCCAACACCTTTGTTTCTTGTCTTTTTGATTTTAGCCATTCTGACAGGTGTGAGGTGATATCTCATTGTGTTTTTGATTGCATTTCCCTGATGAGTGATGTTGAGCATCTTTTCATGTGTCTATTGGCCATCTGCTTGTCTTTGGTGAAATGTCTGTTCATGTCTGCCCATTATTTAATTAGATTATTTGTGTATCTGGTGTTGAGTTGTATAAATTCTTTATACATTTTGGATACTGACCCTTTCCTGGATGTCATTTGCAAATATCTTCTCCCATTCAGTAGGTTGCCTTTTAGTTTCATTGATTGTTTCCTTTTTTGTGCAGAAGCTTTTTATTTTTATGTATTCCCAGCAGTTTACTCCCAATAAATATACATAGCATATTTATGTATTCCCAGTAGTTTATTTTTGCCTTGCCTCAGGAGACCTATCTAGAAAGAAGATGCTTCAGCCAATGTGAATTAAGTTACTGCCTTTGTTCTCTTCTAGGATTTTTATGGTTTCAGGTCTCACATTTAGGTCTTGAATCCATTTTTGAGTTTATTCTTGTTTATAGTGTTAAGAAAGTGATCCAGTTTCATTCTTTTGCATGTAGCTATCTAGTTTTTCAACATTTGTTGAAAAGACTGTCTTTTTCTCATTGTATATTCTTGCCTCCTTTGTCAAAGATCAACTATTTCTATGCTCTCTCTTCTGTTCCATTGATTTATGTGCCAATACCACACTGTTTGGATTACTACAACTTTGTAGTATATCTTAAAATCTGGGATTGTGATACCTCCAGTTTTTCAATTGTGAGACCTCTTCTTTTTCAAGACTGCTTTAGTTATTTGGTTTTTTTAATGGTTGCATGCAAATTTTAGGATTGTTTGTTCTAGCTCTGTGAAAAATGCTGATAGTATTTTGATAGGGATGCATTAAATCTGTAGATTGCTTTGGGTAGTATGGACATTTTAACAATATTTTTTCTTCCAGTCCATGAGCACAGAATACCTTTCCATTTCTTTGTGTCATCTTCAACTTCTTTCATGAATGTTTTAGTTTTCAGAGTAAAGGTCTTTCACTTCCTTGGTTAAATTTATTCCTAGATATTCTATCATTTTTTATGCCATTGTAAATAGGATTGTTTCTTAATTTCTTTGCTACTTCCTTATTGGTGTATAGAAATGCAATGGATTTCTGTATATTGACTTTTTATCCTGCAACATTACTGAATTCATTTATCAGTTCTAGTAGTTTCTGGTGGAATCTGTTGGGTTTTCTTTTTTTTTTTTTTTAAGATTTTATTTATTTATTTGACAGAGAGATAGAGAGCACAAGTAGGCAGAGCAGCAGACAGAGGGAAAGGGAGAAGCAGGCTCCCTGCTGAGCAGGGAGACCAATGTGGGGCTCAAGCTCAGGACCCTGGAATCATGACCTGAACTAAAGGCAGCTGCTTAACCAACTGAGTCACCCAGGCACCCCTTTGTTGTTTTTTTTATGTATAGTATCATATCTTCTGCAAACAGTTAAAATTTTACTTCTTCCTTACCAATATGGATGCCTTTTATTTACTTGTCTAATTATGGTAGCTAGGCCTTCCAATATTCGTGAATAAAAGTGGCAAGAGTGGATGTCCTGGTCTCGTTTCTGACCTCAGGGGAAAAGCTCTCAGTTTTTCACCACTGAGTGTGATGTTAGCTGTGGGTTTTCATATATGGCTTTTATAATGTTGAGGTATGTTCCCTCTAAAACTACTTCGTTGAGGATTTTTATCATGAGTGGATGCTGTACTTTGTCAAATGTTTTATTTGCATGTCTTGAAATGACCTTATGATTTTTATCTTCTCTCTTGTTGAGGTGATGTATCACATTGATTGATCTGTGAATACGGAATCATCGAATACGCAATCCTGAGATTAAATCCCACTTGATCGTGGTGAATGATTTTTTTTTCTTAATGTATTGTTGGATTTGGTTTGCTAGTCTTTTGTTGTTGATGAGTTTTGCATCTATGTTCATCAAAGATATTGGTCTGTAGCTCTCTTTTTTTGTATATCTTTATCTGGTTTTGGTATCAGGGTAACGCTCGCCCTCATATGATGAATTTGGAAGCTTTCCTTCCTCTTCTATTTTTTGGAATAGTTTGAGAAGAATAGGTATTAACTTGTGTCTTTAAATGTTTGGTAGAATTCACCTGTGATACTGTCTGATCCTGGACTTTTGTTTGTTGGGAGGTTTTGATTACCAATTCAGTTTTGCTGTGGGTAATCAGTCTGTTCAAATTTTCTATTTCTTCTTGACTCAGTTTTGGTAGTTTATATGTTTCTAGGAATTTATAAATTACTCCTAGGTTATCCAGTTTGCTGGCATATAATTATTTTATAATATTCTCTTATAATCCTTTGTACTTTCTGTGGTTTCGGCTGTTATTTTTCCTATTTCTGATTTTATTTGAGTCCTCTCTCTCTCTCTCATGAATCTGGCCAAACACTTATTAATTTTGTTGTTTTCTTCAAAGAACCAGTTCCTGGTTTCATTCATCTGTTCTATTGTTTTTTATTTCTATTTCACTTAATTTTGCTCTAATCTTTATTTATTTCCTTCCTTCTATTCATTTTGGGTTTTTGTTCTTTTTCTAGCTCAGGTTGTTGGAGATTTTTCTTGCTTCCTGAGGTAGGCCTGTACTGCTTTAAACTTCTTAGAACAGCCTTTACTGCCTCCTAAAGATTTTGGACCACTGTGTTTCATTTTCATTTGTCTCTGTGTATTTTTTAATTTCCTCTTTGATTTCTTGGTTGACCCATTCATTTTTTAGTGGCATGTTATTTAATCTCCATGTATTTGTGTTCTTTCCTGATTTTTTCTTGTGGTTGATTTCTAGTTACACAGTGTTGTGGCCAGAAAAGATGCATGAAAAAAAAAGAAAAGACTTCAGTCTTTCTGAATTTGTTGAGACTTGTTTTCTGGCTTAATATGTGATCTATTCCAGAGAATGTTCTAGCTGCACTTGAAAAGAATGTGTATTCTGCTGTTTAGGATGAAATGTTCTGAATATATGTTAGATCCACCTGGTGCAATGTGTTCTTCAAAGCTTCTTTTTCCTTGACGATTTTCCATTTGGATGATCTATCCATTGGTGCAAATGGGGTTTTAAAGTCTCCTATTATTATTGTACTACTATTGATGACTTCCTTTATGTTTGTTTTTAGTTGCTTTATGTATTTGTGTGCTCCCATGTTGGGTGATAAATATTTATAACTGTTACATCTTGTTGGATTTTTCCCTTTATTATTATATAGTATCTCTGACTTTTGTTACAGTCGTTGTTTTAATGTCTATTTTGTCTGATATGTGCTATGATGTGGACTTTCTTTTCATTTTCATTCACATGATAAATGCTTTTCCATCCCTTCACTTTCAATCTGCAGCTGTCTTTAGGTCTGAAAAGAGTCTGTGTAGGCAGTATATAGACAGGTCTTGCTTTTTTATCCATTTAATCACCCTGTATCTTTTGTTTGGAGCACAGTCCATTTCCATTCAAAGTAATTATTGATGGGTAGTACTAATTGGCATTTTGTTGCATGTTTCATGTTTGTTTTAGCAGTTCCTCCTGTTCCTTTCTTCTCTTGCTCTTTTTGCTCATGATTTGCTGACTTTCTTTAGTGAAATACTTGGATTTCTTTCTATTTTTTTTTTTTTGATTATCTATTACTGGTTTTTTATTTGTGATTACCATTAGATTTACACATAACATCTTATGCATATTGCAGTCTCTATTAAGTAGATGGTTGCTTAAGTTTGAACCTACTATAAAAGCACTGAAATTTTACTCCTCTCCCCTCCACATTTTAGTTATATTGTGTCATACTTTGCATCCTTTTTTGGAGTCTTTGACGGATTTTTATGGATATACTTAATTTTACTGCTTTTGTGCTTCCTGCTTTTCTTACTCCTGCTTATAGTCTTTCCTTTCCAGTCAGAGTCCCCTTTAACATTTCTTGTAAGGCTATTTTAGTGGCCATGAATTCTTTTAAATTTTTGTTTGTCTGGGAATTTCTTTATCTTTCCTATTCTGAATGATAGCCATGCTGAATAGATCATTCTTGGTTGCAGGTCTTTTTCTTTCAGCACTTTGAATATATCACGCTTTCTGCCCTACAAAGTTTCTTCTGAAAAAATCAGCTGGTATCCCTTGTATGTAACTGTTTTCTCATCTCCTGCTGCTTGCAAAATTCTCTCTTTACCATGCCTTTTTGCCATTCTAATCACTATGTGTCTTGGTGTGGACCTCCTTGGGTTGATTTTGTTGTGGGGTCTCTATGCCTCCTGATTCTGGATTTCTGTTTCTTTCCCAGATTTGGGAAGTTTTCAGCTATTATGTCTTGAAATAAATTTTCTGGCCCCTTTCCTCTGTCTTCCTCTTCTGGGGTTTCTATTGTATGAATGTTATTATGATTGATGGTGTTGCTAAATTCTCTTAGTCCATTTCATTTTTTATTATTATTTTTCTCTCCTCTGTTCAGCTTGATTGCTTTCCCCTCTCTCTCCTCCAGATTGCTGATCTGTTCTTCTGCTTCTTCTAGTCTACTATTTATTCCATTTAGTGTATTTTTAATTTCAATTACTGAGTTCTTCATCTCTGATTGGTTCCTTTCTTATGTTTTTTTAATCTCTTTGTTGAGGGTCTCACTGAGGTCCTCCACTCTTTTCTCAAGTCTGGTGAGTATCTTTATGACAATTACTACAAATTCTCTATCAGATACATTACTTATCTCCATTTCACTTAGCTCTCTTGTGATTTTGTCCTGTTCTTTCATTTGGGACATATTTCTCTGTCTCCTATTTTGTCTAACTCTCTGTGTCTGGGTTTTTTTGTGTCTTGAAAAAGTCAGCTCATCCCCTGCTCTTGAAAGTAGCCATCTTACGAAGAGGTCCTGTAGTGCCACTGCAGAGCAATATCCCCTGTGCACCAGAACCCAGTGCTTCAGTGGTATCTCTTATGTGTGTTGCACGTGCCCTACTATTGTGGCTGAGCTGTGTTTGCCTTCATTCCAGTCATCTGCAATGGCTCTCTTTGCCTGTTGTGGGCAGAGTTTAGTCCCTGTGTTGTTAGTGGGCCAGTCTGAGGCCACCATGGGCTTGAGTTGAGTCAAATCAGGTGTTTGTCAGAGACACAGTAGCACTGAACTGCAGGGCACTTTCCCTGTGTTGTCCCCTAAGCAGCTTTCATTGGTAGGCAAGGCCTTCCGTCAGACCCGGTATCTGCGCCCACCCATTGCTCAAGCCACAGACTGGTTTTATGTTTATGCTCCCCCTGCCCAGGGCAGGAGTTACTTTGGAGTGGTGTTGGCCCCTTTTGGGACTGCTTGCACAGTGCCAGGCTTGTGGCACCGCTTTGAATGGGCTATATGAGAGGGGCAGGTCCTATGGGAGAGTGCAGTTGCAGGGCTCATGGTGCCAGCAAGGTCTGCATCCATCCACTGCAGGAGGGGACCTGCAGCAACTCAGGAAACCTCCTGCCCAGGCTAGGATGGAGGGGGCATGTTCATAGAAGTCTGCAGGGATGGGGCATGTTGTTCACAAAGTAGGTGGAGAATGTTGGTGTTGTGCTAGTTTATGCAGGTATCTGTATCTAGGCTGTGGAGTGGGAGAGGGAAATGTCACCTGCCAGCTCTTTTGTTCTTGGAACAGTCTCCAAAAGATCCCTGCCCCTCTGGCACGTATTCTTCTGAGACCAGTAAATACATCTCCTTCCCATATATCCCAGATATTTTTCAAACGGCTGCTTCTATACCGTATGTCAGTGGAGAGGTTTGTTGTGCTATCTTCTTAAGGGTGGGAATTCAGTTTTCTCTTGTCCACTGGCTCTCCCAGAGCTGAGTTCCCTTATTTTTAAATTTCCAGGTGTTAAGCCCTACTGGTTGGAAGAATTCATGGAGTTAGGCCCCTCTGGTTTTCAGAGCCAAATGTGATAGGGATTCATCTTCCCAGTACACATCCCCATGCCTGGGTTGTCTGCCAGGCGGGTCTGTTCCTCTTCTCTCCCATGGACAGTTCCACAGGTCTGTTCATCTTCCAACCCGTCTCTGCCTTCCCTACCCTCTTCGACGTGGCCTCTTTTTTACATTTAGCCATGGAGAGTCTGTTCTGCCAGTCTTCAGGTCATTTTCTGGGTTATTACGCTGATGTGGGTGTTTTTTAGCTATATCCACAGGACGAGGTGAACTTAGGTTCTTCCTATTTAACCACTTTCCCCTTCTCGAACTAATTTTAAGTGAGCTGCTAAAATTATTTTAAGTGTTGTTAGGGAACTACTGTAAAAATTATCTATAAATGTACATGTCCCATTAATACCAGGTAGAATAAATGAATACATAATATAGGATTAGGTGAGGTCCTGATGAATGCTGTGTAAAGTGGCAACACATAATTCAAATAAAATTATATTAGTCCTTTATACTCCATAAAGAATCATTTGAGAGATAATTTCTAATATTAACAGAAAACTGCAAGGCCACTTATGAATACTAATTTAAATCACAGATCCAGAAAAATCAACACAAAACCTTGGTCTCCCTGCCAGATAGAAACTGCATAAATAAAAGTTAAAACAGGTCTTTGGCCTGAACACACAAGTCATGACTGAGAATTACTCAAATATACTACTAAAAGGAAATGTTTACCAGAGAATTAGGAAATTTAATCTTCAATTTGGGAAGCACTTGGACGATTTCATCAAATTCTATGAAAGTGAAGGACACTGTTGTCACCATTCCTGCTGTTTGAACACTCCAATTCCGATCAAGAGATTCCAGGGCTCCAGAGCCATACAGTGAAAGTGTGTCCCCATCCACTTCAACAAGGTGTGTATCTGTGACAGATAAACCTTGTAAAGCATTGCTGAGTCCTGAGTCCAGAGACCTGGAAAATGCAACATATAATTTTAATGAAAGTCTTATCATGAAAAGTAAACAATAGATAATAAAACCCTGTTTTGACAAAGGTATTTGAAATTTTATATTCATTTTCTTTTTTTTTTGCTTCAATAACTAAACCCAGAACACAAAAGATTAAATTTCAATAGGATATTGGGAAATTTTGTATTCTTCTAGTTACACATTTTAATTCAAAAAGAGGCACATGTGAACAAAAAAAGACCACTTTAAACCCAAATTATTTATATCAATTAAAGGTAATGGATATCCTATTTAGTTTTAAAACAATCGATTTAGTATATCATGGATATCTTTTTTTGGGGGGATATCTTTTCATGTTAGTACAAATATGTTTTCCTAATCTATAAAGTATTCCACTCTCTAGCAGAAAAAAACCCTGCATTTTACCAAACACTATTTCTATATTAAGAACCATATAATATAAAAATATATTTATAAACACGTGGGAAGACCTATAATCACTGTTAACAATAGTTTACCTCTCAGAAGCTAGATTAATGGGTAACTTCAACTTCCTATTTTTTAAAACCTCAATGTTGTCTGACATTTTCAATTGTATACTACAGTTACAAGAAGTAAAATTAATAAAGATTTCTTCTCCATTTTGAAATTAAAAATGATGAGAAATAATTCACTATTTAATCTCTCTCTCTACATATGTATACACACACACACATATACACAAAATCACTTCACATACTCTGCTGAAAATGATAACTGTTGCTATTTCCAAAGCAGGGGCCACATTTTCTGCAAAAGGTACCCAGATGATAGAGAAGAAAAGAAATAGCTCAATCCAACTCAAATTTTCTGATTTGTGAACAGAGACATAACTATTTATTTTCCAATCTTAAAATTCAAATAGTGCTGCTTTTGTTCTTTACGTTTTCATTCTGCTATTTTTGCTTTCTAGTGGTATTTATTTGCCCTTACTAATGTTAGTACTTTGCCTTCCTTTGTGCTCCTGTGAACTTTTACATATTCCTCCAATATATTACTTCTCTTACTACATCATAATTATATGTTTACAATTTGTCTTCTCTATCAGTGAATTCCTTGAGGCTAAAGACTTATTTCCTCATCTCTGGGGCTCTGGGGCCTGGTAATGGGCTTTCCACAATGTGTGTTAAATAAATGAATTACTAAAGATCTTCAAATTTTTTATATTGTTGATATTGGAGGAGAAGACTGGCAAACAATTACCTTGTTTACTGGACAATGTGCACTTCTGTCGGAGGCACCAGTTAACCTGTAACACATCTGTGTATACAATGACAAGCTGGGTAATAATAGTCAATTTGAAGTGACTATGCAACCAAGAAAATACAAAGAGTCTTTATTTTTGCCAGACTAGTGCTTAAGACAATGATTATATGACAGTAGTCAGACATTCAATGAGCAGTAGTATTTGAATAACCTATAATCCTATATAAGTAAAAGCTGATAACAGAAGGAAAACAAGACAGAATTAAGAGTTTCTTATATTGTACTTTGTATGATAGCTTTGTGTTGAGCTACGTAAAGCACACAATCATTTCTGGAATAAGATAAAGGATCAGAGTTCTATTTCACTGCCACTGAAATAGAGAAAGCTTGCTGAAGACTGCATACCCCTGTTACAGCACTTAGCACACTGTATGGTGATTACCTGTTTGTCTGTCTCTCACCAAACACTGTGATCCTTGGGCACTCCAACTTTGTCACATTAGTAGATCCAGCATTTAGCACAGCTCCTAGCACATGTTGTGTTCAGTAAATATTTCTTGAAAGAATTAAGGAAGTGAGATAATTATGAAGTTTTTAATGACCACCTATTGAATCTCAAGAAGGGTGTTCTGAGTATAAGCTGTGGTTTGAGCAAAGGGACAGAATCAGTGATACAGATACAGTTTATAAGGGTTAGCCAGGTTTTCTCAGGTGAGGCAAAGGCAAATAATGAAGAAATAAGGTCAAGAAACAAACAAAAAAAACCCTAGCAAGCTGATACAGTGATGCCTACTGACCATGATACCCACCAAACCAAGTTCATTTTAATGTAAAAATGATAAGGAATCAGAGCTATGAATAAATCCTTTGGAAGTGTCTTGCCTTTCTTTTTCTTCTCCATATGATTAAAAGTTAAAGAATATAAACTCCAAGATAAATGTCTTTCATCAGAAAGGGATTATTTATTTTGCATAAAATTTTCTCAAGCAAACTATTGGGAAAATAAGTGAAATAATAAATAAGCCTAAACTCAGCAAAATAGTAATATGGTTACAAAAGAAAGCCTCTAAAGACTTCACATGGGCATCCTGTAAAAAACAAATGGTGGGTTTTCTGGGCTATAGAAAGGTTCATCTTTCCAAACAGGAAATGTAGCACCTGTTAAACAGGTCACATAAGAGCTAACCCATTTCGGTTATTTTCTGAACAAGGCTTGAGTTTTGCCTCAAACTCTGGCCAATATAGAGTAGAGGAACCTGTTCTTCGGGGAAGGTATGCTCTGATTTGCATAAAAAATTACTTGGAAAGTTTACTAAAAATGTTTGTATGCTGGGGATTGTCTCTCCAGTTTTCTTTGTGTGCTTGGCTGGTGTGTCCACATTTTTTTGCAGCCATACATACATACATACATACATACATATTATTTCATTTGTTCATTTATTCAGCAAACATTTGCTGAAAGTCCATTATACACAGGGCACTGCTAAGGATTCTGGCATAGGCAACTAATTCATCTGTATTGATAAGGACATTCCATACAGCAATCACATACAATTGAGTATATCAAAACTTTTCCTCACTTTTATAGTCCTCACTAGGACTATAGGGCTATAGTCCTAGAAATATAACTGCTCTAATCATACTCTGCAATTAATTTAAGAAACACATGAAATATAATTAAACTGAAATGACCTCAACCTCTCTTAAACAAATAGGTTTATCTGTAGAACTTACTATGTGTCAGGTATTATGACAGGCACTGGGGATATAAAAGATAAATAAATGAAGACTTACTGGCCCTTAAAAAGGACCCAATATGAATGAAGCTAGAGAACAAGACAAATATATATATTAATTATAATACAATGTGCTCAGTTTCATATAATGAGTATTTAAATGATATACTATGAGAATACAGAGGAAGGAATTTTTCTAGTGGGTAGAAGTCAGTTTTCAAAAGGAGGTAGTATTTGAACTGGTCCTTCAAAGAGGAACAGTAGAATATCACCAGAAGTAGAAGGAGGAAGCAAGCTTCAGGTAAGAAAAACTAAATGAAGAAAGCAATAGAAGCCTAATTACATAAAACATATTCAGGGACGAAAAATTTCAATATGGCTAAAACACTGAAACACATGGAAGAGTCATAGCTGAAGATGAAGCTGAAACATCGGATTTTATCCTATAAAGTTGAGGAGCAGAAAAAGCAATAAAAGAGCAAAATAAAAAGGTAATGGGGCCATATTTGATGCACATTTTTAAGCACCTTCAATGTGCCATGCATGAAGTGAAGTGTTGGTGCTGGTTACAAAGATGAACAAGACATTTCTTGATCCTCAAGGATCCACCTCGGAGAGATAAGTTGGCCAGCTGTGTGATAGATGTAGCAGGGAGAGGTGGGTTGGAAAGAGATTAGTAGGAAAAGCTGTGCTATGATGTGGACTAGAGAGAGGAGGTCATGGTGGTGGAAATGGAATTGGCAAGAACACCAGACAGACCTTAGTTCAGATCCCAGATCTGCCAGTGATAAATAGAGGACTTGGGGAGCAAGCTATCTAGTTTCTTTGTAGTTTCAGTTTCTTGTACATAAATGGTGATAATAATACATATTTTTTCAAGGTTGTTATAGACTAGAAATATTCAAAACCGTATCTCATGCTCAGCTCAATACAATTTAGTGATTATTATTAGTAAAAGAAGAGAACATAGATATAACATATTTAAGAAAAAATAAAAGCAGAACTTAGTGACTGATATTGGGGAATAAAGGAGAGGAAAGAATCGAATGTTGCTCAAGTTTTTAGAGGAGGCGACTGGATCAAGTTGTTTTCAACCCCTGTCTACTCTAAATTAACATTCTGAGAAATGTGGCATTCTTCTATGGAGGATTTGTGTTTTAAAATTTGTTTTCCCATGAAGCCCAATACATTTCCATGTATATTTCCCACCTCAAATATTTATAGAACAGTAGGCAGTCTGCCATCAAATGGGAATTCTCTTCAAGACCTTCACAATCAAGTGGTTAATTACAAGTACAAATATTCATTTAATCAACTTGATCTTTATATAGAATGAGTCAGAAAGATATTCTATGCCTTCTTGATTAATATAGGACTCTATGAAAAGGCAGGTAATTAATTTAATGCAATAAAGTAATGAGTCCCTGAAAGCCACAGTAAAAAAAGAATATACTCTTAAATGCCTAGATGGAAGAAAAAGACAATATTTCAGAGGATTACAGGGTTTTTTGGTGTGTTTTTAAAAATCTTTAGGCTTTCTATAACAAGCTAGAACAGAAGGACTTAAAATATTTCGGAAGATTCTTTTCCCAATGAATAAGTGCTGCTGATTCCTATAATAAGGTATTTTATGAATTTCTATTACAACATTCATAGGTGTGGAAATTCATTTTAAGCATTATATTTTATTATGGTAGTGTTGGCTAAAGTACCACAGTCTTCATAGACAGGAAATGACCAAAAATAAACCAGCTTCACTGCATGCATCCAATGTAAGCAAAGAAAACATTACACCAAGTACTTTCCCATTTCTGGCAAGGGAAAGAAATCTGCAATATGTCGTTTTTACTGTAGAGCTGTCCCAAGTACAGTGAAAAGTGAAATCATTAATGGGATATACCAAAGTTTTACAGAATTTCCTCTCTTTATGTGCCTATAATTTTTTCATGGATACTTGTTTCCAGGCATTTAGTTACACACCCATAAGCCAAAGGTCACAGACACTCTAACACAAGAATTAGCC